GGTCCTCACTGTTTTAAATTTTGTCTTGCATGTGCATGGTATTTGAAACCCCATAATAGAGTTTCCGTGAGCACTGTTAACTTGCAAAAATTGAATTTCTAGATTATTTCTTTCGAATATCCTGAGATTTGCCCCTTTTTTCACTCCTTATTCGGGCAGAATTATTCAAAAAAACTCCAACTAGGTTGAACGGGCACGAGAGCCAAGTCGAAAAGCGAGCTGTAATTACTCTTGCCTGGCTCATTTGCCAACATGTTTCCATCGACATAATGTTGTCTGAAATCATTTCCATAGGTTAAACTGATGACTGGAGCTTAGGAAATGTCAAGCTGGGGTCATAAATGACATCTACCCAATTATTTCGCATTTCGTAATGAACCCTATTTAACACGTCGATGACAAGATGGGTTCGTAGTTATCTCGTTTTTCTATATTCTTCTTCTGATGTCGATCTTGTTAAAATTGGAAATAACATACGAAGAACATTGTTATTCCACGGGACGGGTATACATCTGTACAAGTCGTGGATCGATCAACCAAACCCTTCAGAGGATTAGAAATTGCCCAACTGCTCAGGGAATTCAAGAGTTAGGGTTTATACGACAGTGATGACTATTGATCCTGGTGCTTCAGCAAAATCATTGTTTGACTGTAGTTATTATTGTTCGACAAATAAGGAGCTGCTTTCTGAGCTAAATGATGGATCTGAACGTGTCTTGTACCAGCGTACTCGAGCTTATGTAATTAGTCTACACGTATAAAGTAATAATTTTCATGCTCTGATTGCATTGTCCTCGATGAATGTCAACCGTTGGATCTAGAAAAGACAACAAATTCAATGCATAAAAATACATCCAAGGGTTGAGATGCATTGGCGTGACAAATTTGGCACACCTAATAAATTCCATCTTGTCGTTGCAAAAGGCTCCCTGTTTTCCTTTTCTCTTTTCTTGTCGATCAAGGGAAATTCGCAAGAAAATATTCAGTATACATTGAATAAAATCTGAAGTCGGTTATTTTGCTCGGATTTTTTCACTTGGGTAGCTTTTAAATAATAAATAACTAGCTAGGACTAATGATATGTCATTCAACGTACGTATGTCTCATCTAGGGTTAATAACATGTCGTATGGTACGTGATGAGACCATCCTTGGACTCGGAGTACGTTTATCATGCAGCAGCAGTTAATTTTTCTGTTTTTTTGTTGTTGTTGTTGTCTAAATTATGTAGTTTTTAGCACGTGTGTGATTCGCGAGCCCGTCTCAGTAAAGATTATTACATTTTTATGTCCTATGGGCGCTAAGCGTAAGATTCTATTATTTGATAATTACACTTCCATCTATAAGCTTTTTTTTCGATAGATTGCGATAGTTCATACCTCATCATATGTATGCATTGTCAAAAGTAGGAGACATTTAATCCGTAACCCCTCGGTGACCTCGTACTTGGAATTGATTCTTATGATTTCGTCTTTAGAGAAATCCGCCCAACTAATAAAAGCTAGCAAAAAACAACCTTTTTGATTTTGAACCACTTCTTTTTTTTAACAATTTATACTTTTAAATATATTGATTATAGTCCGATCGGACTTTACATCGATCACACACCCTAATTTTGCCCTTTTTTTAATAAATAATACGAGCTATTTAAACACGTAAATTGCCCAGTTTAATCGTATCAAGTCTTACTACATCCACATGGTGCCACTGAAGGGAGAAAATATTTAGTGATTTGCGAACGCAACGTCGATAGCTGACATGGCGTGCATTTTTCCGCTCCGAACCAATCAAAGATTGACATATATATACTGATGTGGATTTAGGATTTAGATTAACAAAATAAAAATTTTCCATTTACCTCACTTTTCCTCCTCCATCTAGGGTTTCCTCCATTGGACGAGGAGTTTCCGGCGCCGCGTCTAAGGCGACCATTGCCGGGCGTCCAATCCTCTCCGTCATCTTTATGGTCGGTGTTCATGGGGATGGAGTTGCAGATTTGAAGTCAACCACCGTTGCTCGCATCCATGGACAAGCAGCTATCGCTGGAGCCATGGTTGCAAATCTCGAAGTCCAACCGCGGCCATGGACAAGCTAGTATGGCCAAATCTGAAGGAAAGTTTCCTCAAATCTGAAAGCTCGACAATAGCAATGGTGGCCGTGGCGGGGCAGTTAAGATCCAAAGTTATTTGGAAGTTTGCCGTCAAGATCTCAAACTCGCCTGTCACCGTCATGGACGAACCTTTCTGGAGAAAATGAAAACAAAGAAAAACTTCACGATTGGAACTCATGGCCGAACCTTTCCCGTGCCCGTCCTGTCATGGACGAACTTCTTTCTTTTCCCTATTTTTTTCTCGACCGAACTTTTAGACTTGGAGTCATCGTGCTCGTGGCCATGGCTCCAGATCAACTCATGGCCGCGAGCTCTTGATCTGGAGCCATGGCCACGAGCGAGGATGTCTTGTTCAACGCTAGGGGCGTCAGCGGCGATGGCCATGGAAGAGTGCTAGGTATGGAGAAAAAAAGTGGGTGGAGGAGGAAGAAAGGAAAAATTAGATTTTAATTAATTTTTTTAGTCAAACTCAGCAAACACATGTCAATAAATTATTGGACAAGATTGAAAAATTCGTGGAACGTCGGCAATTGACATGGCACTTGCAAGCTACTGAATATTTTCTCAGCTGAAGGTTATTATGAAGAGGAGATTTTGTGAATGAAAACGAGATTTGCCACAACTAAACTTGTGGTTACATTGGTTTTCCTTATAATATAATAAGGGCTTTGCTAGCATAATATTTTTTGAGCCACTGTAGAGTAACGGTATATTGTGAGTCACAAACTCTTAAAAGAGTGGACCTCACAATAATTTTTAATTAATTATTTTTTTATGGCCTAAAAGAGGCTATTAATCTTTCAATGGATTGAGGACAGTCACATAAGTATTCCTCATATAATAATATACAATCATCAAAATATGCAGACAAAAAAACATAGACCCGAAATAAGGATCTAATAATTGAACCACTCGAACCCTGTTGGGAGAAAATATTGCGTACTCATCTACATATATTAGGCCTAATTCGTTTAAAAAATCACAACTTTAGATCTAGTCCCAATTTTGTCCCGAGCTTTTTTGCCTAAAAAAAACCCAAACTTTAGGTTCAGTCCCAATTCTACCCCGAAATTTTTTTTATCTTTGAAAAATCTCAAACTTTAGGTCCAGTCTCAAATTCTGCCCTGAACTTTTTTGGTCTAAAACAAATCACCAATTTTAACTCTAGTCTCAAATTTGTCCCAAACTTATTTTTGCCCAAAAAAATCACCAACTTCAACTCTAGTCCCGAATTTATCTCGAACTTCTTTTTATCTAAAAAGAAATTACCAACTTTCAATCTAGTCCCAAGTCTGCCCCCGGTAACATTCTATCCAAAAATTGCCATTAGTTGTTTGACAAGGCATTTCGACACCGATAACAAATCCACATTAGCAAGGTGATGTGGAAAATTACCTCCAAAATGAAACCGTTCTTTGATATGAAAATTAGGAAAATTCGGGATAACTAACAACGATTTTTGGACGGAGGGCTAACAGGGCAAATTTGGGACTAGAGTTAAAGTTGGTGATTTTTCTTAGACAAAAAAAAAGTTTGAGGTAGATTCGTGACTAGACCTAAAGTTGGGGTTGTTTTATAAACAAAAATAAGTTCGGGACATATTTGGACTGAATCTAAAACTGAGTTTGTTTTTAGACAAAAAAAAAAGTTCGAGGCAGAATTGAGACTATATCTAAAATTGGGATATTTTTTAGGGAATTTGGCCCATATGTTGTAATAGTACGAATGTAACTGTTACCACAAACTAAATTTTATTTCACGTTGATAGATTGCAACAATGCCATTATGCAAAATCACATGACTAAGTTCGAGAGGTGCTTATATGTGAAGTTAATGATGGGTCGATACCACACGTAGGTTGAAAATATGGTGTATATCTGTACGTATATATATATATATATATATATATATATATATATATATATATATATATATGTATGTATGTATGTATATATGCTAATCCCCGACTGTGATTCTGCATATCACAAAGTGCGTCCAATTGCAAGTCTAGATTCACGCACTCAGGCCAGCTGTCCGGTTGCTGTCTCTACTTTGATCCATGGGGTAATCCCCGAATTAGACGTTTGCTTCATTAGCCGTAACCCTCTTTCATCATAAAGAAAATAAATTTTCTCGAAAAGACTTGTAGTTCATACCCTGACGGTGTGAAAATTAATTCGACAAGTATGTTGGGGTTTGCATTCTAAGACATTCTTTGTGTAGAAGTTTTGGGTACAAAAGTTGTTAGATAACCCATCCTTCCCAAAAACTTGAGCCATTAAAAAAAAAAGCCTGACTACGTATATGCATCGTAGTACTTTATTCTCCTTATACATGTGAACTGATCTTTACTTGTGCAAAATAGGATGTGGGTGTAACCACGTTAAATAGATATTCTAAAACAGAAAAAGTGACGGAATGAATGAAAAGTGAAATGGGCAACGAAGCGGAGCAAAACCTTTTGCCGCGAAAGTTTATATACTTCTCATATATTATCTTGAGCAACGAGTACAATTATCTTTCGACCAAAAATATGCAACGAGATATATAATATCTTTCTTAAAAGGTGTTTATTACGATGTAAATAATCAATTGAATAAAGCTCCAAGGATTGTTACTCGCCGAGATCAAATTATCAGTGGCATCTCGATGTAGTTGTGGGGGTCCTGCTGCATTTCCAAGGATTGTTATATCCGCTGTAACTGGCGTAAATAAAGGATTACATTACAAATGAGGACGACGGGGGAGGCTTTTTCCTACTATTACAAGAAATGAATAAAGATATACAAAGGCAAACTGTGTAGCGAGCATGATGTGTGAAAATGAAACTCTCCACGTACGTGTCTATCCTGAAGGGGGAGGGGGAGTCCGTCTTCTCTATAAATACGCCTCTCCCTCGCAGCTTCTAGCCACCAAACCCTAAAGTAGTCCTCAACATCAAAGCTTCCCAAGAGTCTGCATCAACCCCCTAGTGATCAGAACCACACCACACCCACCATCTCTCTCTCTCTCTCTCTGTCTCTCTTCTCTTCTCTTCTCTTCTCTTCATATTAAAAACATGGAAGACGCAATTAGGAGGCTCAACGGGGCCACTCAAAACCCCGAGACCAACCCCACTGAAACCGCCATCCCTGACCACCCCAAGAAACCCTCCACCACCACCATCGCCGCCGCCGCCACTGCCAATCCCAACAAGAGGGCTCTGAGGGACGGGGTCCCCTCCGGCGGTGCCACAAGGTACCGTGGGGTGAGGCGGCGCCCCTGGGGCCGCTACGCTGCGGAGATAAGGGACCCGCAGTCGAAGGAGCGGCGGTGGCTGGGAACCTTCGACACGGCGGAGGAGGCAGCCTGCGCCTATGACTGCGCCGCCCGGGCGATGCGAGGGATCAAGGCCCGCACCAACTTCGTGTACCCGAACTCTCCTCCCCCGCTCCCTCACTCCGCCCACCACCACCTCTTCAACCTCTCCAAGCAGTCGGCCCCGAGCCAAACTTTCCGTGGCTTCCCAGTCGGGAGCCGCTCCAGCTGGCAATCTGCTTTTGCAACTGGCGGCGACTTTACCTCGGCAGCTTCTCAGAGGAGCGTCGCCACTGGCTCCTCCACGCTTGACATGCTCCTCCTCCACGATCTCCTCAACTCTTCCTCGAGCGCCACCACCGCTTCTCTTTACTCACCTTACGGCCATTTCCCAAACCTGCAGACTTTGACCACGTCTACTCCCATCACCTTCTCCGGAGGGTCTCTGGTAAGTCCCTCGGCTGGCAATCCAAGTTCTTCTTCTTCTTCCATGAACCTCCATCTCGCGGAAGACCATCAAATCTGTCCCGTGAAGAGCTCTGTCAGTGCGAGCATCTCGACAATGGCATCGAAGACGGATGATCACAAGCATGACGTGGAGCAACTATTTCCTCAGGAGTACTCGTCGAGTAATTCGGGGCTGCTGGAGGAAGTCATCGAGCGGTTCTTCCCAAAACCCTCATCGCCGCCGAAGAGCCAGCAGGCTTGCTCCTCTGCCACCACCGAAGAGCCTGCTGCTTCAGTGGAGTGCTCTGCGGCCGGCAGCGAGTATGCGTCCGACTCAACAGCGAGCTTGGAGCAGCTGGAGAGCTTCGACATACTTGCTGCTGCTGGACCACAGGCCATGGCGCTGTGGGGCGAGTGGCCAGAGAACGGATTGCAGACGATGCAGGACCAGTACTCCATGTTCGAGGACTTATTCCAGTGCCCTGAAAGTGCGATGAGCAGCTTCGCAGCAGCCACTGTTGAGAATGCTTAGCGGCGGGTTCAAGGTGATGACGATGATTCCATAAATAATATTAGTGAAAGTAATTTCAGGAGGAGATGAGAGGTTTGTAGTTGTATGCAAACAAGCTTGCCCTCTTCGAGATCATTTTTCGGCATGATTTTATGTCTCCTACTAGAAACTTTTTATTTAAAGATCAGATTGACTTCTCTCTCTCTCTCTCTCTCTCTCTCTCTCTCTCTCTCTCTCTCTCTCTCTCTCTCTCTCTCTCTCTCTCTCTCTCTCTCTCTCTCTGTGGATGTTTTGTCGGAGCCAAGTGCATGCCTCGACATGAGCAATCAGGGTTTCTTTTCTGGAAACAGGTATCTAGCTGATTCACTTTCTATTTCAAGGAGGTTTTTCTCCCAAGAAAGTACGACGATCGATGCAGAATCTTGCCTACAAATATCTGTTCTTCGTTTCAAGACAGCTTTTGGTTGAGTTTTGATAATGATTCCTAAAAAAAGGACGAAGAATCTATGTTTTTGTCCGATTTTCGTTTTCTTCCGAATTCCAATCAATTGGGTATGTTTTTTTTTCCCTAATTCATCTTCGAGAATAAAGAATGTTCTCGCTTGGAGGATCTAAAGGAAGCTCTTGAGTTGCTTCTATCTCCGGCCAGTAAGAACGAAGAACTAGGTCTAAACAAAAACTGCTTCTACTTGTCGTTTTTTCGTATAAAAAATTAACAAATAGATGAACTATAGTTAATCTAGACGTTATTGGCATTTAAAGTCCTTGTGATATAAACTAGAGGAGGTAAATAGCCATCTGTCGTTAATTTCATCGACTATTAACAGAAGGGAACTTTTCCTTTCTATTAATATAGTAGAACAATAGCGGAGTTCTAGTCATTTTCTTTCATTATGTCTCTGATTTAAATGATCTTTAAATTGCCAAGTAATGAGAAACTTACCCCTTTTAAGTAATCTAATGTACGATTATAGTGTTACAGTTGAGTGAAATTTTCGTATTACAAGCTTGCGAAATATTCAACAACACTAGGCGTCTCAATTTATCTAGTTGATTACATCGTCTCGAGCGGAAATTATACATTCAAATTCGACTGAATAAGTATTAAGTTTTCTCAGCCTGTCTGTTTTTTTCTTGCATCTTCGCTTCAGCAAAATTTCTATGTATGTAGCTGTATGTTCATGTATCTAGGGCATAGATTTCTTTAATTTCTTGAGAGAGCTGCAATGTTGAATATACAAAAGATTTGTTATTAATAAAAATATCCCGTAGGTTGAGCATCTTTTTAAAGAAAATATAGAATAGGAGGAATATTTAAATAGGTTCGGTTATTTATTGAATTTGAAAAACCCACTTTGCAAAGATCTCTTCCTTCTCTTCAGGATCGAACATCAATTGCAACGATTTGATAAACGGCTTATTAGGATAGATGCGAAGTTTTCTCTGCATACGGCTTGAGAAATTAGAAGATATATCTATGTATCCGATTCTAATGTCAAATAGATCTATAAAAGCATTTTATCAAATAAATTAGACTATGATAATTTAATACTTTTTTGTTCTTCTTTTCATTTATAACAAAAAATCATTTGGGTTCTTATAACTCAATTTTCTCAAATATTAGTGGGAAAACCATTTTAAAATGCAAAAACAAAATAATTAACGGCACAAAGATTAATCTACTTCTCGCGCAAGTCGCACATGGCATACGCAAGAGATCCTTAATCAAATGTGAACATGATCATGCATAAATGATTTTGAAGAATTCTTACATTACCAATGTTATTGGGATAATATTGATTTGCACAGACAATACCAATCAATTTCGGGTGTATTTAATGGATGATGTATGAGTCACGGATGCACATCACATCAATTGATTACTACATCTCGTGGATAGAAATTTTTCCATACGCGATGTTGTTATAAACCTGGAGGATCTTCTATGCTAAAGGAGAATATGGCATAAGCCTGAGAGTTCATTTATACTGAGCAGTAAAATGACTATGACTAATTAAAAATTTTCGAAGCTTCATCACTTCCGCAGCTTGCTCCAGCACACAAACCCCTGTTGTTTTCGCCTGTTAACTATGCTTGACTGCTTGTTACATGATGAGGTCTTCTTAAGAACAGAACATGTTGGTTTTACAGGGATCTAAAGTAGTCAATACGTAAGTCGTGCACCACACGATTGATTACATGGTTGATTAGATCAATATTCTGGATCTTGCTGTTAAAACCGACTTAGCTTTCGCTAACGGAGCTACTTTCGATTTTTCTTGAGCCTCCCTTGATTTCGGCTCTTAACTAGGTAAGCCATTTCAGAGAAACTTTTCTAGCTCTTACTTCTGGATAAAACAACGTCAAATGTTCAAGAGGGTCTCAAGGAACCTTGAAAATAGCCAGTGAATTGACTCCAAACCCTTTTTCAACTCCAAATTCGAGAGGCTCCTCCCGTGCTAGAAGATGTTACCCAGGAAAAGAGTCCGCATAACTAGAGAAACTGAAAGTTCCGAAGATGAGATATGTGTAGAGAGAGAGGATAATGAAGCTGAATGATTTAATTCAAATGTACCATCATTGTCAGCAAAACCTAACTTCTGGTGGAAATATTAATATATTGAATCAGCATCGCATGTCCTATCCACATGGTGGTAAAAAAGAATCGATTAACCTTTAAGCTAGGCCTATCAAATCCCGCTCATAAGGGACGGGCCATCTTAAGAACTAGAAGGCCTCGCCAACACTAGACATTAAATGAAGATGACGACCATGAACCAACCATGCATTTCATGCCTTTTTGGGTGACACTTAGCTTAACCCCCCTCTATATCTCCTCATAAAAGCTTACACGAAAGTGGAAAGGTGGATTGGATTAGAGGAACCCACCGCCTTTATGGGCACTGGTCATCTCGTTTGACTATGGTTATGACCGAGCTTGTTCGTGATGGTCCTTCAATTTCCATCGGTGTTGGCATATGTTTCGATTGAGTAGGAGGGAGTATAGTGGATGGACCAAAATGAAATGGAGGGCCACTAGACGAGTGGGTTTGCATTCTATTGGTAAAGCTTGTTTTGATGGAAATTTCACCCAAACATCAACTGTATTGCAAGTATCCCAATAGGCAATAATGATTTCCTCTTGAAGGGATGTTATCGACTTTTGTGAACTAACTTCGACGTCAAACAGTGACTCGTGCGCCGAGCAAAGTCTTGATAAAAAAAAACACGTTTATAATGAAATATCGAAGTTTTGTATATCTCATATTATATATCATGTGATGGAATGTTTGAAGACCAATATTTTAGAACTTTGACCATAATGGCTAGATCAGACGGAACCGATCTTTTTCCTCTAAGGGTTTCGGTCGATTTATCTACGGATTTGGTGGAATCGGTAAACCTACTATAGTTATAGTAAAAAATTAGGTATGTCTGAGCCTATTCATCTCTCCATGTATCCGCAATCCTATTTAGACACGTGCACGTCTACGAAAAAAATGAAACCACAAACCTTCTTCATGCCCCAGCCACTGTCTTCTCCATCCCTCTCTCAGCCTTCCTTCGTTCTAGCATCCTCGGCCAATGGCCATGTCGACACTTCCGGCCGCCGCCGCCACGGCCTCTCTCCACAACTCTGTCTCGGGTTCCCATATCTTTTGAGTGAAGGTAAACGATGCAGACGGCGTTGTCACTGATTTTCTAGATGGAGCGCATAAGTAGAACCAAGTACATGTGCCGGAAGCTAAGGAGAGCCATAATTATTTAACCTGGAAAGGCTGGAAAGGAGACATGAGGCCTGAAGGATTTGAAACTCGAAAGGACTTCAAAAAGTTGCTAGCGGGATATACTGTAGCGTCCTTTCTTTTGAACCCCGATTGGAAGGCGTTAGTGTTTATCACTATGCACCAAACAGCATTGGCAAGGTTCAATTGCTTTCTATGTTCGTATAAGATCGAAATTAGGATACTGGAACCGGAAGGCATTGATATGGTCCGGGATATTTCTGGCCAAAGCTCATTTGCAGAAAATTTTTGTTTATCTTTGACGCGTGTTTATTTCGCGGGAAACTCACTATTTGAAAAGCATTTCCCTGACAACGATCACTTGTATCACTTAAGAAAATTAATAGATCAATGAAAAATATTTTCATCATCCACAAAAATGTTTAGGAATGGATTCTTGCTGATATTCCGTTGACTAATTTTTTTAAGCGATAGAACCAATCTTTTTTAGAAAAATATTTTCTAAAATATTCTCTTTTCGAGAAACAAAACGGAACCCTAAGATGAAATTTTCTCGCAAAAGATCAAAAATTTGAAAAATATTTTCTTGAATATGATTATTTCTATCGTTTATAAAATTGCACTAACATAAATTATTTTTATTGTTAACGAAAACTTATGCATAATTTTTTATTGACGATGAAGATATTTTTCGGTTGACTATCTTTTAAACAATCAATATTAAGAAAACGTTCGCTAAGAGTGCGTTTGTTTCACGGAAAACGTTACGTTTTCCGTGAAATTTTTTCCAGAAAATCATTTTCCAAAAAAATAGTTAATTTTCCTTTGTTTGGTGATATGTGATCGAAAACATTTTCTGGTGTTTGGATCTCATTTGGAAAATGATTTCATTCCCACGATTTTATCTCAGGCAAAAAATAATTTTGAATTTTTTAATATTTTTATTTTTAAAAATAAAAATAAGAAAAGAAAGAAAATATTAAAATATTAAAAAAGTCAAGGAAAGCAATTCCGAAAAGTGTTTTCACCTTCTTAAATTAGGGAATTCACTTTTCTAATTTTATACATGAATGTTTTCCTTAACCGGAAAGTATTTTCAAGTGACTAATCATTTTCGACGAACCAAACGGATGAAAGTCCGAAAAACAGATTCCCAGAAAATACTTTCCCTTAAACAAGCGCATCCTTAATCATTGATTTTTTGCGAAGTAAAAACACACCCACTGAGTTTGCAAAGTCTCGATTATGCACATCTTTATTTTTACCCCATCCCACTATCTCCCAGACTTCTTATATCTGTCCATCATCTATTGATATTGAATACCCTTTTCAATTTATTTATTTTTTTTGGTCAAACCCTTTTCAAATTTGAATACATACAGATCAAACATCATTTGATACGTTAATCATTCACTTCCGGGCTTCCGTATTCGAGCCCGAAAATTTGGCCCGGCCCAATAAGTTTCAAAGAGTCTAACGGTGAACCGTACTTTTGGGCCAAACCGGGTTTCGGACTGTTCATTTAGACCCGCGCTATGCAGCAGACCTTAGAGTTCCCCCAACGTAGATGAAGAGCAGAATTTCAAGTCTTGACATGGACGAGTAGCAGCACTTAGGAAGTCCGATGAGGACCTTCATTTTGCTCGCCGGAAAGGCGGGAGACCGCGCTCACCGGAAAAGCTTAAGATGCACCGGATTCATGCAAAGATTAGTTCCGCCTCCTGGAGTCCTAGCAAGTCGAAACTCTCTTTGCATGGATTGAAAAGAATCCTAGCAACCATGAGAAATCCTCGCAAAATCCTGCGTCTAAATCCTCTTCGTTTCCTTTATTTCGTGTATGCTCTTGGCGTTACACTGACTTCCATCAAGCCTACAACCAAAGCTCATAGTGGCAGATCCAGGACTTCCTCTAGGAATCCTCCGTCTGCGCCCTAAACGAAATGAAGGGATATGTAGCAGAATATATTGTGATGTGAACCTGGTTAAATATGTTAAGGATTCAGTCTATATAAGCTAGCTAGCAAAGGGAGCGGCAAAGGGGACAAGTGTTGGACCGGTAACCTTGGAACCACCTCTCCAGGCAGCCCTTGTGGAAGACGTGCTTGCACCTCTCCACCTCGCTCACTTCCTCCTCGTCCTCGAACCCGCTCAAGCACACGCAACACTCCTCCGCCGCCGCCGCCCTGCTGCCGCCACGGCGACGACGCGACTCGAACCGCCTGACCCGGACTGCGGAGGCCCTGCTCCTCTCTCCGGCAGGGGGGCGGGAGTCTTCTCCGTCTTCGGGAGCCAAGGACGCGGCCATGTTGAGCAGCATGGCCACCACGTAGACAATGCTCATCACGAGCATTGCCAGCAAGCCGTCGGGAGGACCCGGGTAGCTCGAGATACCCATTTGGCTTTTCCGTTCGTTCTCGGCTTTTTCCTTGCTTTACTTCTCTCCTTTCCGGGAGACTTCGCCGGCGAGACTTGACCTCCGCACAGAACGATGGAGCTCGACGCTCGCCCTAGACGAGACGGCGGGGCTTCGGGCTTGAGGCTCTTCTTAACCACGAATCTCGGTTGACCGCCGGGGCCATTGGCATCGGGAGCCCGGAGTCACACGTGGCGGACACGTGTAGGGTGCACGTATGGGGGATCTTGAGGTGGCTGGATCCGACTCGCTTATAGCCTCGAAAATATCCCAAAGTCCCAATCGACAGTCACTAAAAGCCATGAAAGAGGTACACATCTTTTTCTAGCATTTCCATTCAGAACTGTTTCTTGTCAAGTCCTCAACAATGCCCTGATTGTGATATCTTTGAAAGTATGGGTGATTTAAACCTCTTGAACGGGTGAGACGTGTCGAATTTTGGATGGCTCTAGACTGAATCTGTGCGTGATTAAACTCATTTTTATATAATATAATCTGAAAAAATGATACGAACCGTCTTTGAATTTTGACTCAATGTGCAATTTGATCCCTGAACTTTTAATTTGTTCAATATGATCCCTGGACTTTTAGTACATATTCAATTTAGTCCATGTACTATTTAAAAATATTCAATGTAATTCTTCAGGACTACATTGAATATTTGCAAAATGAATTGATCGGTAATTGATGCAATGCGAACCCGATTAGGCTTCAATTCTCCCTCTAGATAGAGATGATTATGCTCAGCTTCGAAACTTAAAACCGAGACCCCACTGCCAAAACCCCCCTTCCCAACCGTCCGCCACCTCTTGAATCACCGCTGCCGGTGCCGGTGCTGGTGCCCCTGTTGCCTTCCCTCAATTTCTCCCCGTCACAAAGCCTCGAGGCCACCGTTGCCAGCGGCGTTGTACCCCTTCGAGGCCGTCAAGGTCGCCGCGAAAGCCGGAGATATTTTGCTCTCTACGACTCAACACGGGCCTGGATGTCGAAGTTGAACAACAGGGTGGCGATGCTGACACGTGGACATGCACGTGGAGCAGGAGGAGAGGTACATTGAGCCGAGAGGCCTTCATGTCTGACACCGACAAGCTCCCAGTTGGAGATTTTGTCGGCCTCTTCCGTCTGCTTCGACCTCTCAACACCTCTATTTTCGTTTTTTTATTTACTGACCCGTCAAAACCCATCTTTTAGTTGGACCCTTTTTAGATAACCTACCTCTACCTCTTATCAAAATTTCAAATAACCCCATATTCTACCTGATCAATTAAATATTGTCAAAATATCATCAATTCATTTTGCCAGCTTCACTTATCCTTAGTAACATAAATAGCTTATTGTCCCTCCCAGTATAGCACAAATAAGGGCGTCGGATCCTCCAAAGATGAAAGCTGAAACGCCAAAGGATCTCTTTGCTTTCAGGAACACGAGCCCCTTTAGGTCGAGATTCGTGATATTTCAGCGTCCGTGTTTCGAGGACGCTGAAAATCGGCACTAAGCCAGCTAAACTCTCGAAAGAACTCGAGCAACTTTCAATTAATAGCGAGAAATATTCTATCATTTGGTGAATCATTAGCTCTGTGCGGCTAATTAATGCGGGATATACAGCTATATGCGATACTGTAAATATTAACTATGACTATGAGTATGGTCCTGCGGAATCCGCTGCTGCGATTTAACTCTCTAGTGAGATTTCTTCGTCTGAGAAGGATCGATTCCGATCGACCTAAAATAGGCCTTTTCTGCATCATCCATCCGTCTCTGAAACATACCCCACTCCTTCCTACACCTCTCTCTGACCTGTCACATGCCAAAACACAATCTCTGAATAAGCTTCTGAAGAAATCGATGTTTAAAAGACTTTAGCAGCTCTTGGGAAAGAGAGAGAGAGGTGTGTAATCTTTTCACGGCACATGCATAACAGGTCCAACTTATATTGGACACTTTTACATACCCCTTGCCATGGTGGCTTCCCATCGTGCACTTCTCCCTGCAGGACATCAACCAAAAGAAACATTTACTAAGATATCCGATGCCGAATGGGTCATTACTTCTCTTGACAACAGAATGAAGAGACAAGGATTTTCCACCTACCTGGTTCCCTAGTGAGGGGATTGTTTGATGAACTACCCACTGAGCATCTACTACTCCTATCTTCTGGTGTGCTGGCTGTTTCATTTGATATTTCAGGAACACAGCATAATCAGACACAAGAAAGGTAGACAAATGCCGATTACTGAAAAACAAAACGAAATCAAAATGCGGGTCACAGACCTCTACACATCTCTGGAGAGCAAAGTCGAGACCCCATCCGTGGACCAGGTCATTCTGCAAATCCCCGCACTTTAAGATTAAAGAAGGAAAAGGCAAATTGAAATTAAAGAAAAGGGTACAAAAGCTGAGTATGCTCAGGTGACCTGAAGCATATGCCACACGCAGCGCCAAGCATCTCGTGAGAAAACTGGAGCCATTATCTCAACAAACCTGGAAATGTCAAATGTAAAATTCTGTCGGGATCCATTTCCATCAATAATTAGTGGTGAGGAGATAATAAGGAGCATCTCAAGAAAAGGAAAAATTAATAATGACGCTCGAAGTTCCTACGCTGCACATGGGGGCTTATTGGGACTAGTACACCAGCCAGGTCTCTCCTGTGTTTCTCTGAAAAAGAAAAACTACTGTATGATTACTTACTAATCGAAGATTATAACTTTTAGCAAAAACAAGGGTCGCGTCATTCTCACTTGTGAACTTCTCGATCACCTCTCCTTTTAGTCATCTGCCATGTTAAGCCTTTGTTAGGCTCCAGACCTGGCTGCGAGATCTCCAAGCCGTGCTTCCTCACCAATTTTATGTATCTGGCATGGTACCACGCAAAACTTGATGAGTTTCAATTATCAGAGATGTAAATAGTAGAAGAGTTATATATATCTCGCTTACTCTTCTGCATTAAAATGCTCAACCCCTAAGTCTTCATCCCATATGAAAATGTAGTCATAAGGTGCCACAATGTCAGGATGCAAGAACCGCTTGGCATACCACCTGAGGAGAGACATTGAAATCTAAGCACCAAGAAAGTTCAGGAAATATACTGCACACTACGGGTAGCAGTTCATTACCACTTTGTCTGCTTCCTAACGCTCACATGTATGGCCCTCTTGGACCATTCATATTCATCCCATTCAGTTGTTCTTCCATCATAGTGGAACAAGAGAATGGTAAAGTTCTCTGAAAACTGTGAGAGGAACACATTTAGTAATGCATGTGAACAGAAACAAATGCTACGCACATGAGCAAAATTTGCAGAGTGAGAGAAAACCTTTTTAACGGCATCATCGATATTCTTGTGCTGATTATAACCAACAGTGAAGGTCACCAGGTACCTAGGTTTAATGGTTAAGTCCTGAAGATGACATATTGATTAGACATCTGGGAAAACTTTGAGTTGCTAATTTCGTTCAGTTCAGTTCACAGGCAGAGACGCACCTCACTCGGCTTACCCCAGAGTCTGCGCATATAAAAATCTGACTCTGCAGTGACAATTCCTGGTGGCAGTCTTTCTGCACCTCTGGGATTTGAAGGGACCCAAATCTGTAACAAAATCATGACGACATCTAACGATTCTGAGTAAGAAGAAAGATAAGGAAGTACCTATCGAGATAAAGCAGAGACGAACGGAGAGCATCAACTTGTTCATTAGTCAAACAAAGTACAAACATGCAATTGCTATCAGAGGACATAAATTCCTTTCGGGGACCTGTATTTTCTTTTGTTTACAGCCAAAGCAGAAACCATGATGCAATTATGATCGATGAAAATCCACTGATATTTACATATGCTGGAAAGAGCAGAAAGGTTTTCAATGATAATAGCCATGAAGTCCGATCTGATATATGCCTTTCTATTCAGGATGGTCAATCACCCTCAAGCATTAACCAATAACAAGAGCACATACAACAGGCATAAATTTTCAAGCGTTCGCCTTCCTCATTTCCAGATATGCTGTCAGCATTGAGCTTTAATAAAAGGAGCTTTTACCTTAGATGTACCGTTTTGAGCTTGATCTGAGCTGCTATTATAACCCTTCTCACCAGACAAATTTAGAATTGTTTGGGTAGAGAGCCCTGTTTTTGGGTCCTCCGAATGCATGACATCAACAGCAGTCTGAGGGCCGGTTGGAAGATTAAACTGGAGAGAAGTAACCAAAAGATTCAGATAAGAGGGAGAGTGCAAATAAGGTAAGAAGACGAAAAATGAAGAAGTGAATCAAGAGAACCAGACGGGATACCTTAATTAGAGACAATGTAGGAAAAGATGCTCCAACGAAGAAACCAAACACAATTCCCACAAATGTTGTAATTATCAGCCTCATGGAGTCATTCGACTTTTTACACCCAGCGCTGCAACCACCGAAAGACAAGTGATTCAGAAAGATAACTTTCAGCAGCCCATAACACTCGACATTATTCACTCAGAAACAGTAAACAGTCCCTTTGCATAGTAATACAAGCCATCAATAGTTATAACCTGCGTGTAGGATTCCCCATTTCCTCAACAATCTTCTCAGAGCGTGTTCGCGATGGGGAAAGCACAAGATGCTCCGCATCTGTTTCAACAACTTTTCAGTCGCCTGTCCTCCATTTCAGTCGAGAAGGCCCCCAATGAAAGTGCAGTAGACCTGAAAAGTAGACAGAAGATACAGTAAACAGCAAAACCACTTTGAGAACACTTACAGATTCCACTCTGTCGCTGGACGATTGTATTTGGTCAACTTGGAGAGTGCAAGGAAGTAAAAGTTGTAGCTTCAGTTAGATTACTTCGGCTAGTCAAGCACATCCACTAAAAAAGTTAAAGAATGCAAACCATCAGGGGCACAGTCTCTGATGAGCAACACACAAGATAATGCTAGCAAGTTGTGCCTCTCTCCTAAACAGAAGGGTTCACGACTCCCAACTCCGCCTCCATCTATCGCTCCCTGCTCTCACGAACCGGGCGGATAACATAAGAGCTGATGCTTCAAACTTCACATTCAGCACAGATGCCAATGTCTACCACCAGCATGCAAGATCTTGCCAGTAAAAACCTACTACGGGTTCCTTTCTTTGAACAGCTTCTCTTAGACCAAGCGACACTCAAATGTCCTCTCAGTCACCGCGAAAAAAAAAGAAACGAAAAAAAGAAAAAACAAATGATCCGATCCACCTCAATAATCAGACCATCAGAACAATGCGTTCGTGTGTGGCGGTCCTAAAACGCATACCATCATTCTAAACCACGAACAATTCTGCTTGCTCTGAAAAAAAAAAAAAAACCAACGGAATCATACGCATGAGCCTCAGCTCCACCTTTGAATGAAAATTCCCTCTGTACCGTACCGGACCGATCGCATTGCCGGCAAAGTCAACATAACCAGAGACATCGGACCGGACAAGGACACGTTTTCCTCGAAATCTATCGCGAAAACAGCTACGAACAGCCCCAGACGCAAGCCGATTCGTACAAAAAAAGAAGAAAAACAAGTACTTTCCGACTACTTCCGCGCTTAGCCAACAATCAGCCGAATCGCGCGGGACGATGTCTAAACCGCCCCCGCTCCCCTCACCAAACCACAAGGGGAAAACTCCAAACCTCGCTCGCCGCCGCCGCGACCGATCAAAGACCTCCGACGAAAGCAGAACGCCGAAGCCTCCTCGGGGCGCGAGAAGAAAGCCCGAATCCCTCGCGGACCGCCACTCACGGCAGCGCGCGGCCAAGAGAAGGACGGAAGGGAGGGAGGAAGGTGGGGAACCGGAACGCACCTGATGAAGAAACACGCGGACCCCCGGGAGCGGCGGAGAAGCGAGCGCGCTGGCCCGACCGTACCGGCGGGGATCAAAACAGGGGGAGCAGCGGGGAATCACGAGAATCTAGCCACCCCCCCCCCCCTGCGCGAAAAGCGCCGCGAGCAGAGCGAGGATGGCGTGAGGAAAAGGCGGCAGCGGAGGAGGAGGAGGAGGAGGAGGATCAGCGAGGATGTCGTCGCTGGCGATGATTAACAACGAGATTGGTGCGGTGGACTAAGGAAGACCAACCTTATATATATATATATAGACACCCGATTATAAATCAAAGAGGCTCTAGAGATAGAGGGAATTTATCGTTTTGTGTGAATTTATATTTATTTATTTATTTATATGTCTTGGAATGTTTGTCCACACGGGGAATAAGTTGCTGGTCCTGGTAACAAAAATCTTGGTTTTTTTTTACCCCTTAACGGTAAGTTTAGATTAGATGATATGTCTCGACCGACCGTTGCCCGTCTTTCTCCGAAAAATTTTGTTGGATTCAAAGTTTTGAAGGGGGCGCTTCCCAAAATTGAGATAATCGATGATTATAGTAAAGCTTTTATCTACCGAGGATTGGTTTTGCGTGCCCGGCTCGAAAAGATTGGAGGAATTGATCCGAAATCTTTTCGGGAATTGTCATCTAGGCGTCTCCCCGAGTTGATCGGTTCTGTAATCGCCGGTTATCTATTTTATGGGGAGTGTAAGGTCGTGGTCGCGGTGTGAAGTCGTGGTGTTTGGTTAGTTGCGATTTTTCTTGGCTTTCGTATTTCCGAAAGAGTTGAGGTACGACGGTTTGATTTGCCCCGATCAGAAACGGTATTTAGCTAAAACAACAAGGAGAAATTGGGATTAGATAGGGCGAAGGGGATTGGCATGCGGTTATTCAATCATGGATTGAAATTGAGAAAGTGAACTGGTGGTTAGCTGTCGAATATAGATAATGCAGTTGCCTGAAAAGGCCACGAGCATAGCAACTTTGCAGGAAATACCGTTTTACTTTTGTGTCGTAGTAAGAAGTGCATTCGAGTTACGCGCGCGCGCGACCGACTTAAAAGACTTTTGTGAAATTGCCTCGTTACAAAGTATTTGAATTATTTGATGAATAATGTGAAGAAATTTACATATACACGTGAAAAGAGATATATAGTTCTAAATTCAAAACTTCTTTGGTAATACTGTTTACGATATGGATAAGATTCAAAACAACTTTGAGATACGTGTGAGATAAAACGGAATTACTAGTCAAGTATATTTCCATCCATAGATTATGTATAAAGCAAGTAATTAAGAATATTTAGGATAAGAAAAACAAAAAGGATGTCAATCTTTAAAAATTGGAGGTCGTCTTTTGTATAGCAGAATTAGATTACTATTGATTATCGGGAAAATTATCAAAAAAAGTCGCAAATCTATTGTACTTTGACTCATAAACCTTTCGATTTTGCTAATTGAGTATTAAAAGTTTTCACCTTTTGCCAGTTGAGTCAATTTGGCCAATTTTAACCAGGAATCGCCACGCAAGAGGACCGACGTTGACGTGGATAAATTTTTTTCTTTTCCTTTTTTTTTTCTATCAAGTTCGGCAAGGGCCGGCGACCCTCGTCGGCCACTAGGCGAGAGCTGTGAGGGTTGGCCAGCGACCCTCGCCAGGCTTGGAAGAAAAAAGAAAGAAAGAAAGAAAATTAATTAAAAAAAATCAGATTTAAAAAAAAAAAAAAACTATGCACGTCAATGCCGGTCGTGTCATGTAGGACGGTCAGCGTTCACATCAACGCTTTTTGATCAAAATTGGCTGGATCAACTCAATTAACAAAACATGAAAAGGTTCATGACTCAATTGGCAAAATCGAAAGGTTTGAGATCGAATTGATCAAAGCGCAATAGATTCAGGACCTTTTTTTTTGGACAATTTTCCCTCGATTATCGATCCGGAGCCGCGGGAATATGCACACACGAGCAAACAACTCGATGGTCATCCCCATATCAACGATTCAAGAGCCGGCGACGATCGGGCGCTATTTTTATATATCGAGAAACAGGTCGTCGATGCACCTAAGATAATGCATTCCAAACCGATGAAAAAAGATCTCCCCGATTTCATTTCATTCCGAAATACAGACAAAAGAGAAAAGAAATTAATAATAATAATAAATAAATAAATAAAAAGAAACCTTACCTTGGACTACGTACGAGTCGAAAACTGAATAACACGACACGTTCGACATTTAAAAAATGTACCCCGAGACGATGTCCATATAGAACATGCTCTTGTCTCGTGGCCCGTCCTTTTTTTGTAAATCCTGGTTTCCGTCTTCGTCAATTCGGTCGAGGACATCCCATAGGAAATACCGAAAACGAGTGAACGAAAATTAATAAAAGGAGGAACGGGGGAAAGACGATGGGGGGAAGAAGTCAATGCACGGGAGATGCCCCTCTCGATTGGGATGATGATGTTGATGTTGATGTCGATGGTGGGGGCGCGCGGCCATTGGCCGTAGACCTCGACGTCGCGAACGCTTCCAACGCCGTCGCCCCCACCCCCCACGCCATAAAGTCCCAACCCCCACGGCCACGTTTAACAGTACGAAGTCAAAGAGGGTGACGGAGGAAAAGCCGCGGAACTACGAAAGCCTCGGGATATTACCACCGCCCCCCTTGATTAGTTGCGTTTATCGTAGGTGGAGCCATCCTAAGTTCTCGAGTTTCCCATTTGAAGTTGGCAGGACTTGGTCCGTATTCCTCTCTGGCGCCGGGGGAGTTTCCGCGAGGATTTCGATCGGGACAAGTTAAGTGGACGATGCGACTTGCACGGTGTTGGGGCCGCGGACCGGCTTTAAGGGACAGATGCTCGAGGGCGATGTTAAGTTTCCACTGAAGTTAAGTCTTGCGGGTAGTTTTCGATGCGTAGTCGGTAGTTTTTGATCTTGTTCCTTCGGCAATTCGACTGTGCTTTGCGGATGAGATCTCGCCGAATTGCCCCTGAAGACAATAAGACTTGACCATTAATGGTGGAATGGAATTCGAGATTAATGTAACGGGATGGTGATTAATTTGCTCAATCTATCTGATCAGAGGGTTGGAATTGATGAGCCGTCGGGTTAGGTGGAGATGACATTTTCTTGGTGCGTTTTAGTCGTTGTGTACAGCTGAACGGAAACGATCCTGGGGCCTGGCGACATCTCCTTCCCCACGTTTTATCATGTTCGGTTCGAGGATGCCCACTTGTTTTTATTGAGTCGTGCGCACCCATCGCTTCGTCTTCGACTGCAATGGATCTTTCTCCCAATTATGCCCACTTTTACAATTTCTGAACCGACCTCTTGTCATTCCTTTCTTTTTTTCCTCCTTTTTTTTTTCTTTTTGTTCCCTCTGTGTGGAATCAGTATGGTCCTTTGGTTTGGACGTCATGATGGTCCGCCCGCTGATTTCCCTTCATCGGTCAAAGGCCATTACCAATCTGAAAAAGATAAAAAGAGATGAAAAAAGAAACTCAAGAGTTTCGTGCCTCTTAATTCTCGTTGAATACAACGGTTTCACCGGTCCTTCAAATGCTGGGCAATTCATTGAAAGATGCGAGAGTTTATGCTCTCGAGAGTGATCCCAAAAGAATACACAAATATGACGATAAGAATTCAAGAGAAACTCGAGATCGTTACGATATTAACCCCTCTTTTTTTTTTTTACGTGTCGGTTGCACTTTCACCGTTTTCAAGAACTTTTTTGCACTATAAAAAGCTATGGGAAAGATATATTTTACTTTCCGCCTGGCATGACATGGTTGGGTATGCATCGGTCCTTTTCTTCTCTTTGTCCCTTTCTCAAATGACATCGTCCACCTTCTCCCTTTTCACTTTCCCAAAAAAGACCATAACCTGATGGAAGTGTGAGACCGTTAGCTAAGCAATGTCTCCTGAGGAATATCTTAGCCTAAACTAGTTATGCATCGTGCATTAGATTCATTTTTTAGTTTTATCCACCATAGCTGTCTTTGTAAAATATCATCTCATGTATCTATCTGTAGTAAAGTTTTGAGTGGGCCAGATAACAATTTGGTCCTTTAGTTCCTCGCCTTGCCAAGGACCAATAGCGGCCCGGTTTCCATAAATGCCGTGCTCATTTTCGACACGCTTTAAATTATTTTACCCGGAAAATAAAATTAAACACGTTTTCCGACCCAAAGGGAAAGGTTCAGAGACCATCTAGTGAACACATTCGGTTAGAGAATTAATTTCAAGAGCATTCTAACACACTTCAAATTATTTCATCGCAAAATTAGAACCCGTTTAACACCATTCTTCGGGGCAACGCACGCTTGCGAAGCGGTAGAAAAAACGTCGCGATTTAAATGGATCGAAAGCGTTGAGGTATTACTTAATATGCAGTTTTTTCTAATACTATGGCGGGTATTTTCCTTTGTGCTCGTCTTCTGAACACGATTCTCGTATTTACGTTATTTACATACCTATCTATTTATGCATTTGTACATTTATTTTTGGGTCTATTTGAGTTGTTATGGATATCCCCAAACCTATCTAACCGTGGTCAAATCAACCGCAATCCCAACCATAGGGATTGATCCTGGCCCATAAAGGGTGGATCGCAAATTGCACAATTTGCGATCCTATTGTGCCCATATTCCCCATCCAATTGCTCTCCTTTTTCGCCCTTTTCCTTTTTAGGAGCAGCATGGGATGGGTACCACGAGTCCAACCTTTGGAGTTTGTTTGTTTTTGCCCATTGAATTTGCACCTATCACCCACCCTTGGGTCCTTCCAATTGTTTGGTGCGTCTATGCACGAATTATCATACAGAGTCTGACAGTTAGATCGCAGAATAATTTAATTATTGAGATGCATGTACGAGCTATATTATAAAAGTCCTACATTGGAGAACTGATATGGTATGAAATAAATTATTATCCTAGTTGGCTTAGAACTAACTAACTTGAGTTTTTCAGTAAAATGTATATGTTGACGAGCTTGGACTTTTGGATCCCTCTTGGCCATCTCCTTGGACAAAGCTATTGGGCTTTTTGCTGTGTGTTCCCAACAAGTGATATTAAAGTTGGAAGGTGAATTGGTGGGTCCCCAATTTATTAGAAGTTGCCATATTTTTTTAATCACTTTTAATAAAACCCTTTCCAAAATATGAATTCATAAAATACGAGGACAATCACTGAAAATTGCAAAAATTTCTCAATCAAACGACGAAAGATGTGCCTTTTGAAAACATTTTTAAAAGATACCAGGAGAACATTTGCTAAGTAACTAATTTAGAAAACCGTACAGTTTTGAACATATTGACCGTTCTTGTATAGTGTATAGTCAGTGCTTTAAAAATTAATTTTTTCTCCAAAAATACTCATATAGTATCTAGGATCCTCATTATTTAAAGAAAAAAAACCAAAGACCTATTTATTTAAGGGTTAATACCACGAAAAATCCTAAACTGGTACACTTGTGACATATTTACCCCAAACTATTTTTTTGAATTTTTTCTTTTCTTTTCTTTTCTTTTTTTTTCCTTCACCTTCAACCTCGCCGGTCCCGGCGACCGGCCGCAGGGAGGAAGCCGGCGAGGGCCGCCCTCGCCGAATCCGGTGAGGGTGACCCTCGCCGGTATCGGGCGAGGGCGCCCTCGCCGGATCTAACAGGGCCGCCCTCGTAGGCATCGGGCAAGGGCCATACTCATTGCCCAGATCTGGTGAGGACGACCCTCGCTGCGTCGGGCGAGGGCCGTCCTCGCTCGCCTGGGCAAGGGCGACCCTCGTCAGACTCAAGGCAGCGGCCCTCGCTCGACGCAGCGAGGGTCGCCCTCGCCGGATCCGGCGAGGAAAGCCCTCGCTGCGTCGGGCGAGGCCGTCCTCGCTCGCCCAGGGGCAAGGGCGACCCTCGCCCGACTCGAGCGAGGGCGACCCTCGCCCGACTTAAAGGCGAGGGCGACTCGCTAGATCCGGCGAGGCGGCCTTCGCCCGATATCGGCGAGGGTCAGCCGCTCGCCGGATCTGCGAGGCGACCCCGCTCGCCTGCGCCGGTGAGGGCCGCCTCGCCCGAGTCGAGCGAGGGTCGCTCTTGCCCTGGGCGGGCGAGGACAGCCCTCGCCCGATGCCGGCGAGGGCGGCTCTCGCCGGCTTCCGCCTCTTTCCGGTCGCCGGACCGGCGACCGGCCAGGGTTTGAAGATGAAAAAATAAAATAAATAAATAAATAAAAATTCGAAAAAAAAAAAATAATATTAAAATTTTAATTCAAGGTAAAATTGTCACATATGTACCAGTTTGGGATTTTTTGTGGTAAGTTCAGGGTAAAATTGTCACAGGTGTACCAGTTTGGGGTTTTTGGTGGTCAAAAAAATAGTTCAGGGTAAAATTATCACAGGTGTACCAGTTTGGGGTTCTTTATGGTCAAAAAAATAGTTTAGAGTAAATGTGTCACAAGTCTACCAGTTTAGGGTTTTTCGTGGTATTAACCCTTTATTTAATTTTGCTTCGTCAAAGAGTGTGTTTAGATTAGCTTCACGTTGGTTGCTTTTCGTAATCCGGATTTAAGTCCGGATAAAGGAACAAAATATCTCCTCTGATGTTTGGCGACGTCCTCTGGATTGGATAGGGGTGAGATAAACCTGATTAGATAACTTTTTTTAAAAAAAATAACTTAACAATTTTCTTTCAGGAGTGATGGAGTGACGTATCCACGCACCTCCACGACAGTTGACTATAGTCACTTTTGACCATCGTGCAATTGTTACTGTCTCTGACCACCCACCGATCGTCATCATGGTCCGTCTGGTCGTGCTCCGGTGACCGAGGGTGAAAAGGAGAAGTTAATACATCATATGGCCATGGCCATCGAAAAACTCAAATCCTTTCACGAGTGCGCTAGATCCTTCGAGGTCATCATCTACAATAGAGACGTGTTTGCCCTCATTACTCATTGCCCCAGTGCCATCCACCAGTGGATCTCCGTCCACCTCCTCCTCGCCCTCAATACCCAGATCGTTGACTTCGAAGTCAAGTGGCACCTGAGCTTTGCGCGCAGTGTCCGCCACCCTATCGCCCTCTACCAGACCGTTGCGGCCGCTACCTCCCTCGGTTGCACGATGACCTGAGGCTCGTCTTTGTCAGTGTTTGAATCGCCTTTAATGCAGTGAAGCTAAGCGAATAGTTGATGGGATTGTCTACAATCCGAAAAAATATTTAGAGGATTTATAATCCCACCTTATCTTATACTATCCCAATCCAAATCCGAACGAACATACGTAGCCTTAACAAATATTTATAGTATCGACACATTTTTCTTCGGACAAACATGCCCTGGATGTTTAGAACACCAGCACACATGAATTTTGTAAATTTTCCCTCCAGCCCAAGCCCAAGCCCAAGCCCAAGCCCAAGCATCTGCATCTGTTCAAAGCATTGACCGCTATTATAATTCCAAGTTCCCAACGGCTAGCATGTCGCTCCCACCTCTCTCTCTCTCTCTCTCTCTCTAAGCATCTGCTTCCATCTCTCTCTCGCACTCTCCTAGCCGTTCAACCCCCCTCACGCCTTCGCAGAGTCCCTCCAGGAACAAACGCAATGTCGAGCGACCCATCTTCGTCTTCACCTTCGACCAGCGCCCTCGCCGTCTCCGCTTCCTCCGCTGCCAAGCGGAAGAGGCCCTCGAAGCTGGAGATCCCGAACGTCCTGCGGGAGCTCCAGCCCAGCGAGCTCAGGTCCCGGGACCTCGCCCGCCGCGACGGCGACGCCGCCGCCTGCTTCGGCGGGCCCGGGGTCGCGGTCGCGTCGTTCAAGGGCAAGAAGAAGCTCATGGAGGACGCTTACAAGATCGCCTCTTCCTTAGATGGGAACCCATGTAAAGTAAGGACTCGTTCGGTGAGGTTCGTGCGAGCATTTCTCCGAAAGTTTCGATTTTTAATGTGTTCTTTTCTTTGTTTTTTTTTTTTTTTTGTTTCCGGGTATAATTCATGTGCAGGGTTTCTTCGGTGTGTATGACGGGCATGGGGGTAGAAAGGCTGCGGAGTATGTTGCGGAGCACTTGCACGAGAACATCCTCGAAATGATGGTCAATGCCGAGACGAATTCAGATAAAACAGCAGCTATCAAAGCTGGGTACTTGAAAACGGACCAAGAATTCATGACGCAGGTGATTTTGAGCTAATGTACTGGAATGGTTAGTTTAGGCAGTTTCTCGCATCATGAGAAGCAATGCTTCAGCTTTGATCTGTTCTCACTCTAGCGGCGCACATTAGTTTGCTTAGTGAGGTCTGAATTTGGCGAGTTGGGAATGGTGGAGTAGATGATAATGCCGATGAGAACAGTTAGCTTCTTCAGATCTATCGAATTCTTGTCCCCTGGGAGATGGTTCAGCTTCCACTAGTTTCTAGAGAACTTGAGTGCTTTATCTTCTACTTCTGTTTCTATGCCTCAATCCATTTTGGAGTACTAGTGACAAAACTGAAGTGCATTTCATAAAGGTGGTCGCCTCAATTTGTCAGGCACAACTTGGTGGGGGAGGTAAAACGGATATATGTTTGCCATCATCAATGGATGTGAGGATATGGAATTTAGACAGCCTGTATGGAGATTTCACGAGTGCCTAAGAATTAAGAGTTAGTTTTAGTAGAAGAATTTCTCAGATAGCTTTGGATTGTCGCGGTGGAATCTCGGAACCGCTTCAACTGATTGGAGGAGCTAACATGAGAATGTCATGTAGTAGACATCTAATCTAAGGAAAGAATTCTCAGTAATCGCCTTATTTGCTTCCGGAAAACCGAGTGTGCTTGACTAGTATAAAAAAATTGCAGTACACACTCATGCATTTTCATTCTTTACTCTGTTAGCCCTGTCTCCTCAAATTTGCTTCTTACAGTCTCTACATGATAACTGCACTACATTACAACAATGGGCAAATCTAATCCTAATTTACCAACTTGACTTTAGTTCTTGATCCTGATCCTCATCATCACTATTCACATCTAACTCATTCTCTGCTAGTCAAGATGGAGTATTCATCCATTCTTCCTGTTGAAATATCCCACATCGCTTGACTATGGGGTTTATACTCTTTTTATATACATTTTATCTCTCTCCACCTATCAGTTTAGGTTTTTGATTGGACGTTCTAACGCGGTATCAGAGATACCTAAGTTTTCAGGTTGGGTACATATGCTTGTCATTACAGTCATCTTGCTCTACTCCTTTTTAATTCCGTGCCCGACTAAACCATAATATCTATATGCAGGGTTTAAGCAGCGGTGCCTGCTGCGTCACAGCCTTAGTACAAGGCCAAGATATTGCTATTTCAAACTTGGGAGATTGCAGGGCTGTTCTCTGTAGAGGGGGAAAGGCTGAAACTCTCACGAAGGATCACAGAGCAGATAAGGAGGAGGAAAAGCAAAGAATAGAGGATATGGTATGCGTTACTCTCCAATCAAACTCTTGTAGTTAAAAATTTCTCAATTTTTTCACCCATATCAATGGGGTACTCTCTCATGTCGTGATTTAGGGAGGTTTTGTGGAGATGCACAGAGGGTCCTGGAGAGTACACGGCATACTCTCTGTTTCAAGAAGCATTGGCGATGCTCATTTGAAGCAGTGGGTTATGGCTGAACCTGATACGAGAATTCTTCATTTGACTGTGGATATGGAATTTCTAGTCTTGGCCTCTGATGGATTGTGGGAAGAGGTGAGCCTAATAAAATAACCGATGGATTTGCTTTACTTCATTGTTTAATAGTGCATCTTGTGATTTTTCATTTGATTGTTTTGTTGACTTTGTCATATACTACCGTTCGCATTAGGTTGGCAACCAGGAAGCTGTCAACATCGTAAGACGTTCATGCATTGCCGAAAAGGGAACCTTGCCATCGACAGATCTTGACAAGGATGAAAATGATGAGTACAGATGTGTTACCTTTCCATCAACAGATCTTTACAAGGATGTATATGATGAGTGTGGATGTGTCAATGTGAGCCCTTCATCAAAACTGCGGAGGATCTTGTTGCTCAAGCAACAGAAGAGAATTAAGCAGTCGCCAAGCCACAGAAGACCTCTTGAAAGCTTGAAAGATGGTGAAAATGAGTTTTTGGGCGAGATCAACAGCCCACCATTGAAATCGAGAAGAATATCATTATTTGAGAGAATAAACACGAAAACCGAATGCTTATGTAGTCAAGAGAACAATGGCGACTGCAACAACGGATTCTCTTCTGCTGGTCTTGTAGCTGCTTGTACGGAGCTTGCGAATCTTGCTATCAGTAGGGGTAGTCTGGATGATATCACTGTGATGGTCATAGATTTGACTCAATTCAGACGCGACAAGGATTGGTCACTGTAAGTTTTTCCCTTCAGCCGCACATATCTGGATGCTCTTTCTTTGGGAATCACACATACTGCATTCTTCTCCATTTTTTCTGGTCCAAATAGCTAGTACAGCTCTAAAACTTGTGATTCTTTGCTAAGTTTGTCCAGCTTATATTGACTCCAATTTAATCACCATACTGTTGGGGGAAACCCAGCATACGAGTTTCCCAAAGTTGTTGTATATTAATGACATTGAATGTTTGATTATAACATAAAATCTCAATATACTTCTGACTTTAATGGACATGAGGCAAGAGAACATGGAAAAGAATATAGTCTAGTCGTTGTTATGTGAAAGGAGCTCAGAAACTGCTTCCCTGCATTCAAAAACGAAAGTTCATTGAGGAGGGGGGAAGTTTTCAGACGTTAAATTTGTCTCGGTAATCCATTCTATGACAAGCCATGTTCAAAGGAATCGGTGGGTCTGAGTATGAGCCATCAACTATTTGCTCAAATATCCATCTGTAAGCTGCTTCTGTGAAATGCATTCCATCCCAACTGACCCGGACCGATGGATCTTTGCACGACTTCGCTATTACAATCTCTTTTCCTTCAACTGTAGTTTTGAATCCACATCTCGTACTATTGTTGATGTACTTACCACCATGACCACAGCAGGCCATGAAAGGTTGCCGAAAACCTGCAAATTAGCAAAAAAAATCATCACAGGCCAAGGGTTATTGAAATTTGACTTCTGATAACTTGGCAGAAGAAAGCCATTGTAATCCATCACATTTCATCTTTTCTTTACCTAAATATATGCTGAAACAAGTTCATAAGATTCGAGTGATACACCTATGAAATGACCTGTTCTGGAAAAATTATTGAGACGGAGAAAAGATGAGAAGGTTATTTAGTTAATTACCATGTTTATGTGCTTGAGTGATGAGATTATACTTCACAGAGTACACATCAACTTATGTTATTGCCACCAGAGGTAGCTCTGTCCTGAGTGAATCCATTGCTTGCTTCAGTTTGGTGTTGAATTACTGAGTCAACTCATTGAAAGGTCTCAAACAACCATGTTCATCCTCCTGACTTCGAGATGATACTGGTCCATGATGAAGATTGAACACCCCAACGGCCCTGTGTTGTGTATCCAGAATGACCTTCCTCCTTGAGCATATACTTTCTGTTGCACGTAAATTTTCATCGAAAGTGTTTCAGAATAATTTCACATCGAATATGGAATACCAACGAAAACTAGCACCTTTATGGTATCTGAGAACTGAGTCATCACATCAGGAATGTCCGCCTTTATCTGATCGATGGTCCTGTTCTGCTTCAATCTGGAGGTGAGATCGTTTTGGCCGATCTCGAATGTGGACAAAGCCCTAGAGAAGTACTCTTCTTGTGGCAATAATCTCGTAAATATGCGTCCTTTTTGTTAACAAAGGCATGGGATTGAAATATCATCATACCCACACAGATGGAAATGACAGGACAGTAACTATGAGAACCAATTTAATTGCCAGATTACGACTTATAAAAGAACGCTCAATGAAAGTAGTCTGATGTCGAGGCATAAGAATAAGTTAGCAAATTCTGCAGCAACATCCAAGTCGAAGATCGCGGTAGTAGTTATTGTTGTTTTGGATTTCAAAGTGCATTGTGAGTGAGTAGTCACGAGGGTTATTTCTTATTTGTACGTGCAGGTAATAATAGAAGGGAAGAATGAGACATACAGACTGAGATATCAGACATGTCTGTTTTCCAATCGTGGGTGTAACTTACGTTTTCCTTTACTGCATCTTCATTTCACTTAGTCCAGTTAGTTCAGTTTGCCACAGTTTATTGTCATCAACGTCGCGAACCCAACACTAAATGGTGATTCCTTTTTCGAGTGCCGACAGTGTTTTCACGAAAATGGTGCATTTGCTTGTGAGTTCCCCAGAAAATTTAGAATGACCGTACCTGACCGAAATATTTGCGACCTCACGAGAAAGTCGGAGAATTCGACGAGCTGAACGTTTGATGGGATTGGAATATATCCTCCCTGGGTCACAGTCTGTGGTCTGATTGATGATCCGGCCACGGCGAAATTGGCTCCATGACTGAAGTTCAAACCCACAGAGTCCAAATATGGACTCAGATGAGGCAATCTCAAATCTTCAGCTGCAATATAAGTGTTAGAGTAATTAAATATTAAACCTAATTAAATATTAAATTACGCCTTAATCTAACAATTTAATCTTTTATATAGTAAGTATCACACAATTCTGATAATTGCAAAAGATTACCCTGTGATAATATACCTAAAGTTTCAAGTCTACCGGTAAATCTAAAAGCTTTAGTTTCAGTTCAATATGTCCATGGAGATCTAATTCACATGTGAGATGATGCAGTCCAAAGCCTAAAAAATTTGAAAATCTGCTAAAGTTGACCATGCAATCATGAGTCGTGTATGATGTATCAGTCTCTTCTCTTTCAAAGTCCTAAATGATTTCAACAAAAAGCTTATAATTTCTTTTACACAATGAGAACTGAAGAAAGTTAAGACGGTACCTATAAAATCAATGAGCAAGCGGCCGTCGCAGTACCTCCCCGACGGCCTGTGGAAATACGTCTCCCCATTCAGCGGCCGGACCTGCCCCAGCACCGCTGACAACCCACCTGTGTCGGAGTTCGAGCTTCCGAAGTTGAAGATTGCCAGAAAATCGCACACCGCAGCAGCAGCCAAACATGCCGGAAATCGACAGAGCAGCAACGCCGCTGCCGCCGCTGCCACAGCCATTCGGAGGCCCGAGGATGGCTCTTTCAAGCGACCCTCCATTTGTTCAGTGTGTATGAGCGTGCGGTATGTCAATGAGAGGAAGAGTAGTTATATAAGACTAGTAACAGAACCCGGTGTCCAACTTCATAGTCTTTTCTTTCTTGTAAAATTTTCAGTCTTCCAGCTAAAGTCTTCTGCCACGTAATCACGACAAAGATTAAGTAATTAATGAAAACGAAAGGCCTAGGAAGAAATGGACACTTGACATTTTGCCTCCTCTGTCCCCTGCTGAACTTTATATCTTAATCGACAAGACAATGAACAAAAGATTTGATAAACAGCTGAGAGATTGACAAGGCGCCTATCCTATCAATAACAATCAAACATTAGATTAAAATGCAGTCTAGCCGGCTCCCATGGAACATGACCGTGCTCGAGATACAAACAGTCGCAAAAGTGATGAATCTGACATCTAAAGAAGATGGGTATGTCAAAGATGTAACGTTTTCCTAATGTGGGTTACATTAATTGAGATTGTTATTACCCGCTTACAGGTCTGGTCTAATAAATTTGGATATACAGTTTCTTAATTGGTCGGATATGGGCCCGGCTTGTGTGGGCCGAGTTCGGCCCGGCCCGTTATGAGAGGGCATGGCTGGAAACTCTATAAATAGAGCTGCAGGTCCCTTCTCTGCACCTAACTCTCTCCAATCTCTCTCAAACGCTCTCAAACTAACCTAAGGCTCCCGTGAGTTGGCTGAGGTTTGCTGAGGCGGTCTCATAGCGCCGGGGCTTCGGGGGTGACAGGGGAGAAGACCTATGGCACCGGTTCATCGTCATTTTCGCATCCAGGCCTATGGAATCCAAAATAGGTGCACAAATTCTATCCATCCTTTTACCGTACCGTTAATATCTCGCTATGATGATCCTAGGGCGCTCGGCCGAGCCATACGGGCCGGCCAACATGTGGTATCAGAGCCGCCATAGTCGAGAAACGGGCCGGAACTGTTCGTATGTGATTTTGTTTTTTTCATCCGTTGAATGTTAGAATAAATCACATAGATGGATAGATCGTCGCGAGACGAGAAAAATGAGTGGTCGCCGGCCACCAGGGGCCGCCGGGAGTGGCCGCACGCGCCGCCATGCGCCGGGGCGTCGGAGAGCCCCGGCGGCACACGCGCGGCCACGCGCGGGTGTTCCCAGGCGCGTGCAACGCACGCGCTAGGGTTTCCGCGAGCCGGGTCGATCCGGCTGACCCGACCCGACTCCGGACCCGACCCGTTGACCCGACCCAGATCCGACCCGTTGACCCGACCCAGGGTCCGACCCGTTGACCCGACCCGTTGACCAAACCGGTCAACCGGTCGGACCGGTAAGCGGTCAGACCGGTCGGTGGTCAGACCGGTCGGACCGGTCGGCGGTCAGACCGGTCGGACCGGTCGGCGGTCAGACCGGTCGGACCGGTCGGCGGTCAGACCGGTCGGACCGGCCTTTTTGGCCGGCTTAGGCGTTGGCGTGCGAGGCCCACCCGCCGCACCTTCAGGAGGCGCGTGAGGGCGCGTCCGGGCTCCGTTTGGAGCGTGTAAGGTACCGGCGTGCTCGTATAAAGATTCTCTACACTGTGGTATATTTTTTGTACATGTTTGATACTTTTAAGGATGTGAAAATACATACGGAACCCTATATACGCGTATTTTTAGGGTATATTTTCGTATTTTCCTGTATTTCTCTATGGTTTAAGAGATACAGATTAAATCTTACATGTATATGATGCCATAAGGACGTGTAGATCATGTTTCATTGATAGTATGTATAAGGTTCGACATATATCAATGTGTAGAGCAATGTAATTAGCATGGTATGTAACTTTAGAGACATTGCCCATGTCTTCCAGTCTAGAATTACATCTATATAGTATATGTGAGACATAAAGTTTATATCCTTAGTATGAGAGAGTTTCAATGATTCAATTTGGTAGTGACCGCCAAAGTGGCACACTTGATTGAGTTTGAGAAATATCAGTCTCGTATTGTTAGGATGTCTCCTGTTCTAATGTGTTATTATACTCCCAAAGGAGGTGATTATGTATTGGTTCATGGAGGGATGCATGTACAGCATGCGTGAGGAATGACTGATCCTAGTGGTTCATACACCCAAAGGTGGTGAATTCATAAAAGATTGGAATATATTCTCATGGCCGTTGTAATGTAGAGGGTATACAATTGCATATCATGTATTCTGCCCAAAGGTGATTATATAATGATGTGTGTAACTCTCAGGAAAGTACTCACATGATGCTGATTATAGATATTGCTTGTTTTTATCAGTCAC